CAGATCTACTAAGGATAGAAAGGTAAAAGTACATGAACATTCTCCTATTGGTATCAATTGTGACTCATATTTCAGGGAATATGAATCTTCCTAGACAGGGAAGATTTTGCTGGGGTTTTTTAAGCAATATGCTATGTTTCTGATGTGTTGAGGTTTGGCATCTTCTACAAATCTGGACTGCAGTTGCTGTCCAGTACAAGGCATAGCAAGACATCAGCATATAGAGGATGCCTCTGTCCTCCAGTAGGAGAGCAGACAAAACCGCCATGCATAAAAGCAAAGGAGGGCCAAAGGCAACACTCAAAAAATAAAGACAGCAGAGAAGAGAAAAAAAAAAAAAAGAACTAGACAAAGAGGACTACAATTAGGAGAGGAAAAGAGGAATCACAGTACCTAAAACAAAAAGAAATGCCAACAAGCAGAAATGGTCATCAAACTGCATGATGCAAAGAAAGCCTGATTAATGTTTTTTACAGTTAGAGGGGTCAACACCAGAAACAAAACACTGCAAAAATTATACACGATTGGTAAAAACAGTCAGAGTGAACTATCATTTGTAGAAAAGGGATCTATAGGAACAAGACAAAGGATTTATTAGCAGAATCTGGATCCCAGGGAAAACTCAGGCCTGTGCCATCTTAAAAGTACTATATCTAAAAGGTAACTCAATGAACTGGACTTATGAAAGACAGGGCAGATAAACAAAGAAAAAGTCAGTAATAACATGGAAAACACAAGTGAGATTAGGAAGAAGCAAGGCCATGATTCCTATGGGCAAGGAATCAGCATTTATCATCTTCCATATCTGTAGTAGGCAGGCTGGCCCCTGCAAAGAGGCCCACTGCCCTAACACCTGAACCTGCTGAGTATTATATCGCATGGCAAAAGGACTGTGCAAATGTAATTAAAATAATAAACTTTAAGTAGGGAAATTATCTTGGATTATCCAGGTGAGCCCAATCTACAATGAGCCCTTTAAAGCACAGAACTTACTCTGGATAGAGACCCAAGCCTGGCACATTAAAACAAGAAGCCTGAAAAGCTCCAAGCATGAAAGAGATTTGAAGCATCTGAAATGCAGGGCATCATGTGAAGGACGGGGCAGAAGGCTCCTGAAACTAAAAGTAGACCCCAGCTTTCAGTCAGCAAGGAAACAAGCAACTCAGTTCTACACCTTCAAAGAATTAGATGAATGAACTACAAAAATCCTTTGCAAAGCTTAAGAGCTTAATAGGATGACACTAACCTCAACCATGTGAAACCTACCAAACCACTGATGCCAAACTGGATTTCTAATCTACACATCTGTAACACGTCTGTGTTGTTTTAAACCCCTAAAGCCATGGTAACTTGTTACACAACAACAGGAAACTTAAAAGACTTCCTAGGAAACCAAGGGCAGATATTAATACCCTACTGCAGCAAGTGCTTGCTCCTCCTAGCCTTACTTCCAGTCTAATCTGGAAGGAGACAGCTTCGGTGTAACGGAGGGAAAAGAAACAAGGAAAGCAAGGAGTCCAACCCATGCAGGGACAGCCCCTACTGCAGAGTAGCAAGCTTGAAGGAGGAAAAAGATCAACTACCTTTCAATGAAAATTCTGTCATTTATACTAATCCAGTGTCATTATTACTGGCAGACAATAAAAAAGCTCTGGGACCTGCCTAGCATTTTATCCAGGGTCAGGAAAATACAAGCTGAGAGGGATGGTTCAAGAGCCAGCAGCTGCAATAAACAAGTCACTCGGAACTCTCCCTCATCATGCCCACCTCAATCAAAAACACAAGGCTGAAAGAAATGCAAAAGGCAACTGTAGTGGTCAATCCATTGTGTCAACTTGAGAAGTGAAAAGCTTAACACCTGGACTCCAAAAAGTCAAGACTATATGGACGATGAGCAGACGACTGTATCACATGTCTAAGATCTACAGAGAAACTAGGTGAAGCTGTGAGCTAAAAGTTCAGCTTTAAATATAAAAAGTAAAACAGGGAAAATGCCCTTAAAAATCCTGTTTTAGTAAAGGACATGGAAACTAGACTACTATAGCGATCAAGTAAATCAACTTCCCGAGTGCAGATAAAATGAGTACAAACCTTAAGTGTGACACTGTACTTCACACTGATTAAGTAATCAAGTAACAGCTTTCAAAGGACTGTCTAGAGGAGTGACAAGAGGTGTTCTTCATGAGAGATTTTACTCCACATAAAAATTAAATACTTTTGATAAGTGATAAATAAATAAGAATAATTATTCTTTAAATTATGCATTGCCAAAACAAAGAATCCACATAAAGGACTTTAAATAGTATAAAACTTTTCAGTACAAATGCAGAAAGCTAACATGGCTGATTACTGAATGTTACGTTCTTGGGAGACTTCTTACTAATAAGCACATTATAGGTACCAGCAAGCCAAAAATCAAATTCAGTTTATATCTAACATTTTCCATAAAAGCAATTTAATTTTGTAATATAGTATCCTGAACATAGTATCCTGAAAAACCTCAGGTATATCACTAACCCACATTTAAGGAAGGTAAATACCCTTCCTCAGCCTCTTTAGCATTCAGCTTCAGAATTAAAAGCAATCTTCCCCTTCAGAATATTGTAATACACTCAAAGAATCAAAGAGGGAAGGAATCTGTTCCTCATTTTTGAAAAAGACCTTAGTTGTAACTACCTTGTTCCTTAGCATATTGAACAGCTCTAAGAAAGCAACAATTTCGTTTTACTTGTGCTGTGTAAAGGGAGTTTGATTTCAAAAGATCTTCTGCCAAGCAGACTTGTTTAAGATTTAATAAGTCATCTGGCCCAGTAATTAAAAAAGGTTTTCTGTAATCACTTCAACAATGCCTATATCCATCTGTCCTATACATACTGTTATAATTGATGGTCTTCCTCTAAAGTGTATCAAAAACTAGCATAAACTCCGTTTAGTATTTTCTAGGTACTTGTCCTTTTAACTGCTTATGGACATAAAATATTTAAATAGCAATAATATTCCACACTAATAATAATGTTTAATAATAAAAAGTCTATAAAATGGGCTGGGGATGTAGCTCAGCGGTAGAGTTTGCCTATCATCTGTAAGGACCTGGTTCCATCCTCAGTGCCACCAAAAAAATAAAATAAAAAGGTAATTAGTCCATAACTGTTTCACATCAATAAGCTACTTATAGCCAGGCACAACAGTACATCTCTGTAACCCCAACACTAGGGGAAGCTGAGACAACAGGACCATAAGTCTTATTAGCCCATCTTGGGCAACTTAGCAAGTTTAAAAAAAAAAGAGGGAAGAGTGGTTGGAAATGCAGCTCAGCGCAAAGGCACTATCTGCTTGCTCAGCTGGTACCTATCTTTGTAATTTTTTAAAAACTTTTAAATTTAGTCACAAGTGATCCACAAAAGTACCATTCCAGGGCCAGTGAGATAGCTCAGCACACTAAGCACCTGTTTAGGCAAGCCCTGAGACCAGGATTCAATCCCTGGCACCATATGCTGTGCCGGCCTTGCCCAGGGGGTAACTGAGCCAGACACCAAGTCCAGATGGTGGTACACACCTGTAATCCCAGCTCTGGGGAGGCTAAAAACCAGAGGATCACTAGGAGCCCAAGCTGTGTAATGAGATCCTGTACAAAACACATTAAAAAAAAAAAAGTAGCATACCATTCCAGAACTTCATAGATAGTTAAAGTAAGTATTCCACTTACATTTCACAGATGAGAGAGAGGAAAGGCCCTTTTACCTCCTGAGTCCTCAAAGATAGTGCAGAACAAAGCTACTTCCATGCAAGTCTCATTAACAGTGGCAAAAGGTAGCAAGAAAATGATACATTTCTTTGTCCTAGGCTAAAATTATATGAACTCGTGGTGCCAAAAGAGAGGTGTTATACATGCATGGTCAAACCAAAATCAGCACTTCACCAAGAGCTGGCAAATAACAGATCAGCTTCTTCAGCCTCAATTTTGTAAACTATATGCAAAGTAAAAACTAAAAACATACTCTCAGTAATGAAAATTTAGGAATTGTCCACTCCCAGTTATCATTCCAATCTAATTTTCCTGATCTATCTGTACCCTAGCTCTACATCTCTGCTTACTGCTCTTTCCGCCAAGAAATTATTTTCCCTCTTAGTATCCAAACCTGAGTTAAAATTTACCCCTGTACTACATACCCCTAATGTATTATATCATCCTATCTCTTGTTTTCCTACAAAGCTAAGTAGGTATCTCAAAACCTAAAGTAGTTTCTTCATAAACTGAAATTATAAAGAACTTAATTGTTAAATACTGCCTTCTGGCATTTCTTACTCAGTTAATTTTTCAAATGTTTGTTTTGAATCCTAGGAGATAAGCAACTTAAAAATAGAAACTATATATGTAAATAAATCTATTTGTATGAAAGTAGCATTCAGTTATGGTAAATGTTTTGAAAATACTTCAAATTAGTTGGATTAGTGGTCAAATTAATTCAGTTGGCTTAAAAACCAGAAGCTGAGTCAGTCAGTGAATCACAGTCAAGAACCAAATAAAGAAGGGCCCAAAGATGCTATGTATCTACGATAAAAGGTACACTCCAAATGAATTGCATTCAACTCTAAAGAGATAACCAATGCAGATAAAGAGCGTGCACTCATTAAGGAAAAAAAGAAATAAAACAAGGTCAAAAAAAAAAAAAAAGTAAGTACACTTGATTCACAGCACTGTGATCATCTTCAAAACTACTGAGCTCAGACAAACCACTCAATCTATTTAAAACAGATATGGTAGTTGATACATTGGAGTGGTTGTTTTACCAAACAAGCACTATATATAAACAAAAACTGGTGTAATGTTCTTCTTCACTCTTTTTTGTGATTCAAAAGTAATCTATGACTAAAGTGCTTTCCTAAATGACATCTGGAATTCCCCTGTGGAACAGGGGTTCCAAGTATGTTTAAGAAATCAACTGACATAAACAAAAACTAAGGCTTTTTGTCACTATACACAGAAGCAAAATTCTTACCATCATCTTTTCAAATAACTGTAAGACCTCATTCTCTGACAGCTGCTTTGGAATGTTTTCCATCATCTCTGAAGGTGCCACTGAGCAGTCACTGCTTGAAAATGCAGGAAGAGGAGGTCGCTCCTTCTTGCTCCCTGGAATTCTAATGCTGGCAAATTTATCTAGCTAGGATGAAAGATAAAATAGCACAAGTAAGTATTTCCTCTCCCAACAACGCTTACCTAATCCTTTTAATGGAAAACACAGAATAAGTTACATCATCATGGTCATTTTCATCACAAAGCATTCAGAACTAGAACAGTTAAGATTTAAAAATATAAAAAGTAATGAAAGGTTTCAGTATCATTCCTGTCTTACAGCTGAAGAGAAATCACATAAACCTCACAAGATTCCTTGAATCTTAAAGTCATATAATTATAGGTATTTGAGATTTTAGTGATAGATGACCTTTCTCTATAGATTAGTAAACTAAGTTTTACAAAGGCAACTTAAATAATATAATGGTGGCACCAAATTAGTACTTAAGTGTTTTGGTCCCAGGCCACCAGCTGGCCTCACTACCAAATATCTAAACATGTCACTGGGGGCAGGACTAAGTTCTGCTTTTATCTTCATAGCTTACTAAGCCTGATAACACATTTCTCTTTGCTCAGGACGGGATTTATGTGAAGTTTTTAAACATCTACATAGCAGGGTACATAAAGCCCTAGGGAATAAAGCTATATTTTAATTATGAGATTTCTTCTACAATGAGATCAAATACCTCACTGATACTGGAAAATGCATAATTACTTGTTTATTTAAAATTGTTTGAATTTCATAATTCCTATTCTTCACAAAGAACCAAGACTTATATTTCAAGATTCATATGTCAACAAAGGAGCAAAAGGTCTCAAACCAGGTGTCAAGAGTAAAAGCATATATATTTTAAAAGTATAATCAGTCAGTCTTTGAATTGCTCACTGTTTCTGTATACGTTAGGCTACTGCTTTCACCCTAGTAAGTATAGGATATATATTTCTTATTATGGTATCTACAAGCTATATATAGACATTGAATTAAATTGAATAATATTAAAAATTCATCTCACTTGCACTAAACACATTTTAAGCTCTCAAGAGCCTTATGTAGTTTGTGGCTATCACATAGGTGAAAGTGTACTAAAACATTTCTATTATCATGAATGTTCTATGGGACAGCTAGTATAACTAGTAAAGAAATCTGACACCCAAAAACTCAACTTAAAAAGGACAGTCAGCACATATTACTTAATTCATAAGAAGTAGAACAGAGAACAAAAAGAGAATTCTACATGCATCCTAAAAGTAGGCAGTAGAACTTTAAAGCAGAGAGAAATATTGCACAGTTTTGAACAGTGGTAGCTGAGTTGCAAAGTTAAGATAAAATTACCAGAGTTCCATTAATGCTCAGATCCTAAGCCCTCAAAAATCATGCAGGAGCAAAATCAAAACTGAAGAAGCAACAAAGCCCAACCTCGGGTCAACTGGAGATCAAACTGACTCAGCTTCCCAATTCAGCAGCACAAAAGCAGAATGAGGAGGAAGTCATTACTTTCCATAACTTTGGAGGGATTAGCTTTACTCTACCACACTTACATACCCACTACATAACTGAAGATTGCTAGAAACAAAGGAACATGAAAATGTGACCCACAATTTAAAGGACAACAAACTTAGAAATGGCCCAGATGTCAGAACTTACCAGAGAAGTACTTTACAATACAATGAAGAAAAATGCTGAAGAAAATAATTAAGAATGGATTGGACTCCACATAGGAGAGATGAAGAACTTATTTCAAGGCAAATTCACTGAAACTACTTTTTAAAAAACAGATCCAGCAAGGACTTGAGTTCAATCCAGAAATAAATAAATAAATAAATAAATAAGCAGATGCATTGGAAATGGACAATAAATTAAAAGTGAAGATTTTACTGAATGGTCTTAACTACCTGGACTAGGGGAGGAAAGTATCAGTGAACATCGATAGAAAGAACCCCAACTAAAACACAAACAGGGAAACATGGGAAGGTACAAAAAAAGAACCCCCAAGATCAGTATTGCAACATGAAATGTGGAATACAAGTTAACTGGAATCCAGAAACAAAAGAGATGGTGTGAATGGTGCACAAGAAATATTTTAGGAAATAAACCAGGTATGGCAGCTCATACCTTTAATGCCAGCAGTTGGGAGGCTGAGGCAGAAAAATCACTAGGAGTTCAAGGTCAGCCTGGGTGACATAGTAAGTTCAAGATGAGAATGAACTATACAGTGAGATACGGTCTTAAAAACCAAAAGTAAAACTTCTAAAACAAAAGCATACTGAGAAAACTGATTAAAAATAGACATATACATATCAACTCAGACCCAAAAAACTCAGTAAAACCCAAAGAGAGTAAACACACACATATGCGCGCACATGCATTTCATAGTCAAACTAGTAAAAATTAAAAATAAAAGATAAACCACAGAAAAGCAGTCAGAGAAATAAAAACACATTATATATAAGAAAAAAAAAGTGTAACAGCTAATTTCACACTGGAAACAATGCAAATGGTGCTTAAACACAAGGGAATGACATCTTTAAAGTCTGTGCAAAATGTAATGACACTCTGAGATTCTTTATCAAGTAGAAATACTTCTCATAAATAGAAACAAAACAAAAACACTCAGACCAAAGCTGAAAGTATTTGTCTCCAGCAGAACTGTGCTACAAAAAGTGTTTGCAAGATTTTCAGGCTGAAGGGAACCTATACTAGAAGCAACTGCAACTTACAGAAATGAAGAACTAAGGAAAATCCATGAGATGGTTGTGATAAATAAGCTGTACAGGACCTACCTTAAGTAACAATTAGTGGGGGGAGATAAGCACATAAGCATGTAATTTTATATAGCTACGCAGACAATGTAGCAACGAGTATGCCGAATGTACTGTCATATATATTAACAAACAAGCAGCATCTCACTCACCAATATAAACATTCCCTATCCTGGAATAACTCAGAAACAACAGTCTTTCACAAAAATATGCCCAAAAGTCACCACTCCTTATATATCTTTGCCTCCTAATTCTTTCCTTCTTAAAAAAATTTATTAAAAAACCTGTACGACATTTAAAAAAATAAGTGTAAGAAACAGTACTAGTTACTCTGCCTATCTTCTGAGTGAAATGGTCCAGGGCCATCGCCTCTGTGCAGTAGCATCACTTTGGAAGGGCAGAAATTCTACTGACTCTTCTGCACACACCCCCAAAGTGTAACTTGATTAAAATGCCAAACTTATAATTAGGAGAAATTAAGCAAAACATTATTAATGCAACATCAATATTATAAAGGTAAACATGTCAATAAGTGGGAATAGTAATCTCAAGCACTTAACAAGCTAATATGTAAATGCATGCCCTAATATCTTTATTGGTGACAGATCAGATAAAATTTTACTTTTCAACAAACCAGTTTTTAATAAAAATCTTTACAAATCATAAAAATAACAATGATGTATTGTCGTGTTTTATGGCACAACACACTAAACCCAGAGCCTTTGCACTAAGCTATATCCCTATCCCTTTTTTATTTTGAGACAGGGACACACTCATTTGCCAAATTACACAGGCAGAGCTTCAACTTTTGATCCTCCTGTCGCAGTTTCTGAGTACTGGGATTACAGGCATGCGCCACCCCACCCAGCTAACATTGACTAATATTTATTGAATCCCGTCTCTCTGTCAGGCATCATGCTAAGAAACTGAAATGCAGCATTCCGTTAGACACATTTGCTCCTGACAATGAAGAAACTATGTGGCTAGGTAGAGGACTATATTCAAAGCATGTTTCTACAATTAGATTTCATAGTGTTTACCTTATAGAATAACAAAAAAGAGAGAAAAAAATCAGTCTTGTGTTTTTAGGAGTGAAGCTACATTTTTATTAGCAAATAATAATTTATAAATGTAACATAAATAAAATAAAATAAAATTAGCCCATCTCCCCACATGTTTAGCACGTAACTCTGGGTCAAGGCTCTTGGACTTTACCAAAAAGAAAAAGAAATATGAACCTGGTCACGAAAAGTTGGCCAAAGGCAGAAAAAAACAATAAAAACTAGTAACATCCTAATGAAGATACAAAGGGATCTGTTATGGCTGTACCTAGACTATCCCGCGAAAGCCTCACACAGTCATAGGTAGACCTTTTTTGGAGGTGGCTGAATCTAGAATGTGTTTTGCTGGGATCAAGTATATGTGATTACTAAATGAGTCCAATGATTGGCCTGGCATAATTTTGGGTAGGATTAAGGGAGCGTCCACCCTCATGAGTAGCCAGGGTGGAATGTAAGTGACAGAAAAGAGGACTGTCCCTTACTGCTTCTTTGCTGCGTGCTGCCTTCTGCCTGCTGTTTGCCATGAAGTGTTTCTCCTCCGCAATGCCCCTTTGCCATGCCACCCTGTCTTATTAGAGTTAGCCAACTGTGGACTGAAACCTCTACAAACTGTAAGACAAATAAACGTTTTCTCCTTTCACTTTGGGTGTTAGGTACTTTCTCTTAATAACAAGCAAAGTAACTAAGACAGGATCAAGTTTTTTATACTTTCAATACACTCTTTTATTTATATACCCTGATTGGGAGGTTAAAAAACAAAATAAGAATCACAGAAGAAAAACAGATACAATCCCTCTTCCCTTACTAGAATAGTAAATTGAATCTATTGAATCCCTCGGGCCTAAAGGAAAAGCATACCTGGGTATGTGATGCTTTACTGAGCACTCCAGAGGAATTCCAAAAAATTTTGACAAAGTTAAAAAGCTAGAACAAAGTGAGTTTTACTACAAAGTCATTTTAAATATGGTAGAGAATTTTCTTTTTCAAAAGCAGTGCTACTATAATTTCATTCACAAATGGAACAGTTACTATTAATTTATACCTCAGTAAATTGTACATACAATTTGCTCAAAGCAAGGCACAGCAGAACAGACAAGCCACCTTTACAAATACTTTAGAACATAAAAGCATTTATAAATCATGACACTGATTGCAAGCTGGCTATTAGTTTATATTTGGCAATTTGGTTGGGGGTAGTTTAATTTGCTATTTTATAAACCATGTACTTTTTATTTTCATATGAGAATTTCATAGATTTATATGCAAT